ACCCATCCTGCAATCAGTCTTGTGCAGGCTTCTGAAATCCCATGGGTGCTTGTGGAGCTGCATGCAGGCTTGCAGGTCTCTCTCCAGGGATCGGGTACAGGAGTAGGACCTGCAGACCTGCTCTCCAGAGTGAAGCTGGGGAAAGTGAAGCTTTTCTTCCCATAGAAGAGAGTGGTGGTAAGAGATGGCCATTCTCCCACCAGCCCAAAAGTGAATTTTGCTGAACAGCTTTCTGTTCCTGGAAGAATGGAAAATGATACAGAACCCAGTGGGTGTTTTTGTTTTTGCTTTTAGTGTTCTGCTTATCCTTTGAGGGGAAAACCTGTTGGTCCATGTGCACGAAAAGGAAGTCGGGCTTATTAATTGTGGGGGAGGCAGAAGTGAGAGTGCCGTGAACTTCGACGGCTGTATTAGAACGTAACAAATCACGTGGGTAAATCAGACTTTTCCTAAACTTTCAGTTCTGTACAGGTTTATATGGGTGCATCTAAGCTGTTTAGAGAGGCCTCTGATTCTGAAAAGCAAATAAAGCCCAGCTCCTGCTGGGGTAAAACAGTCAAAGTTTACGGGTTCCTAGGCCTGTTGGTGCTGCTGCTTGTTACTTCAGTATCTGAGCCTGTTGCAAACTTTGCAATGGAGAGAGACAACGTTGCTTTTTATTATTCCGAATAATGGGGAAATGGAGAAATTAAAGAACCTGCCCCACAAGTATATAGACCCAGCTAGCCAGATCTCTGGCACCTGCTCCCATACTGTTGTTTTTCCCCCCTGCTAAGTCCTCTATAGCATCTGACCTAACGCAAGGGAACCAAAAAGTGAAACTGTCTAGCTTAGTTTTGTGTAATCTGAGAGAGAGTAACCCAGGGGCATCAAGAAAGGTAAATTAAAGTTTAGAGTGATCTCAGTTCCTACTTGTAACCTCAACCTTGTATTTTTATTATGGAATTTTAACCTGACAGTCTGATTGAATTTCTCAGCAGAGTTTTTAGAAATATGTCATTGTTTCACTCTGCTCCGTGGCGAAGGTCGGTGTCTCTCAGGGACTGTTGACATTTTGTTGATATTTTATCAAGTTTGGCCCTACCACAGAGCTAACATAGGTAAGTGATTGAAGCTAGAGAGGTGTCCTGTAAGGAGGGTGCGTATTTACCCCCTAGCCTGATTGCCTGCACCCTGCTGCTTAGTGGCACTGTGGTGGTACCCCCATCTCTGATTAGTGAACCAGGCAAAGGATTAGGCAGAGCAGCGCTTTGCTCGCTGTCTCCAAATGCACAGGCACGCATGCTTCTTTTTCCCACAGCGTGTAGACCTTGTGAGATGCCCTGATGTATTTGCTACAGGTTGTAAATTGCATGAGTGCTGTGACCATGGCTTTTTCTTGTCAAGAAGAAGAGAAGGTGTCCCTGCTCTAGCGAATGAACATACACACTGGAAATTCTGGGTGGTAATGGGATGCCATAATGTCATTTAACAGTCCTGAAATGTGTATTTCCCCACAGAGTGCAAAAGAATTTGTGCCAGTAGTCCTCTCTTGGTGTAATTTTAGTAGAAGGTAGGACACCCTTCCACAGCTCCAGGTCTCCTATAGAGGCTTGTGAATCTCTGTGTCATTAGGGCATTTTTTAAACGCTCGTGCATGCGTGATACCTCTGTGTTTCCAGAAGAGCTGATTGTGGTGGGTAAGTGAAGCCTCGCTCCATCAGAGATCGGCCTTTTTGTGAGTATTTTGAGCTTTTCTGACTATAAGGCCATATCTTTATGGGTATGAAGTTTGGAAGTAGCGCTGTCTAGGCCTCCAGACTCTTCCTGAAGGTGCTGTTTATCTCATCAGCCCTGATGTTTCAGTCGCTGTCTCATGATCAGCACAGTCCTAAGGCTGATGCAATAAGTAATGTCGTGGTGTTTCATTGTCACCTTCGCAGCTTTTAGAGAGCACCAGTTCCTACAGGATCACCTGCCAGCTGTGATGCTATACCTTTTACATCACGACTGTGAGATGACACCTCTCCTTGCTGGCAGACAAGCCAGGTGGGCAGGCATTGCTCCTCAGAGCTGCTCTGCATCTAGGGAGGCGCAGGCTGTTGCCTGGTTTAGCGTAATGGAAATCAAGGACAAGGACAGTGTTATAAGTAAGGGGCAAAGCGCAGAGCTGTGTCCTATTTCAGCTCTGCTACGGCTGCAGAAGGCAACCTTGGGCAAATGAGCTCCTCTGCAGCTGCGTTTCCCAGGACAGCCTCTCTTGCGTGCTGACTTTGTGACAGAGGTTTGTAAAGTGCTTTGGTCTGGCTGGGCAGCGGGTGCGCTGCTGATGGAATTGAAGAAGATGCACGTGTATGGGAGGGGGGAATCTTAAAGATTTTTAAGCTTTTCTAGAAGTCATCTTCCTCCTGTGTACCGTACCCTTCTTTTCCCCTGATGCAGGTAAGGTGGTCCACCGTGGGAATATCGGCCTGGGGTGTTACGGGTAATATGCCAGGTGAATTATGGAAGGGGCAGGAAAAATAGCCTGTGCTGTTTTCAACAATATCAAAGGGATGCTACCTAATGATTTTCCTATTAGCTCTCTTCCCAGCCTGCCAGAGTCACTACAGAAGTGTCATTTACAAAGGCAGTTTGCAACTCATTACCCTGGATTTTCACCGTAGTTCTGCTCCAGAGAGCGTGGGCTTTTGCTGTGCCCCAACCTAATGAATTGCCTGATTCGGTTAGTGCTGCCATCCCTTCTGACAAGGTTAGTTGCTGACTGACAGGAAGGGGACTGGATTCAATTCCCTTCTTGTTTTCGACTTGCACTTGTGTCAAGCGCAGGCTCCCTCTGGAAGCTGCCCTGTGATCCCTTCCCTTTGTTTTTCTGCATTCTGAGGGAAGCAGCCCATGCTTGGAGGAGTCCTGGAGCAAGTGGCAGGGGCGTGTGTGCTGCTGCCCCCAGCAGTCCCTGCTTAATGGCTCAAGTCCCTTTCCAGCTGGAAAATTCCACTGCTCTCCTGCTCTGGGGCTCTGGGCTTTTCTTTTTCTTCATTGGTTTGGGATTTGCTGTCACCTGAGCTGGGCTTTGTAACTCTTCAGCAATAAATACCTTGGAAAAGCTGCATTAATGGTACCAGGGAAAAACATGCAATGTGGGCTGGGGGAACAGAACTGATTTCCCACATGTTAGAGGGCAACTGTGCCCCTGTTGTGGGAGCTCCAGGGTCTGCTCCGGCCTGTTTGGGCTTTGCAAGGCACCTGTACAACAGCGCTGGAGAAAGCTCTTGTCCTTTTTCACTAGAGAGCAGCGTGCTTTTTTAGGCTGGGGGGCCTATGGCTCATCTCATGCTAGGAATAGCTCCTGGAGAGGGGAAATCAAGGCTGTTCTTATGTCATGTCACAAGCGCTCCCACTTGGAAGCTGAACGTGGCTGCTGCTCGTTCAGCTGGTAGAGCAGGAAACGTGTAGGTCCCGTGAGTGCTAGTCTGACCTGAGTGTGGACAGAGGAGCTTGGGAGTGTGTATATACACCTCTGCTAAATGCCATTCTCCGAGTCCCCTGTTGAGATGTCGGATGCCACCCCCCTGAGGCTGCAGCTTGCATCCAGGACAGCTCTTGCTGTTCAGTTATGCCGTCTCCAGGCTGGGATTTGGCGAGGGAGTTACCCAGTGCTGGCCCTGGATCCTTTTACTGGATGTCGTGAGGGTTTGACCTAGCTGGCCCACAGGGGAGGCAGTGATGCGAGATCAATTTGTTTCTGCTGTGCGTGAGGCCTCCTCCCCTCTTAATTAGATTCCTGTGGCCCCTCTTTTTCCTGCTGGCCTTGTTTCCTACTGAGCCCCTGTCAGGGAGACCCAATTGTGGCCTTATCAGGTGCTCGCTGTGCTCTAATGAGCCGTTTCCGTTTCCTGTTCTGCCTGTCCCACCAACCGGGGAAGGTGCTCGTCAGCGCTCTGAAAACTGACCTCTACTCGCAGTGCCACGCTCTGCCCGTCAGACCCACCGGTCTGGCTGTGCCGCGTGGGTGCTAAGGTTGAGTGGATCTGAAAGTTTTCCCAAGTGCTCTTTCACCCCTGAGTGCTGCCTTCTCCTTTGCACATCAGCTCACACCTCCATGTGGGCACAATGTTCCCGTCCTGCAGGTGGGAAACCAGCATGCTGAGGGACAGGGTGACTTACCCCTGGTCAGAGCGGAAGCAGCAAAGCGAGGAGCCAAGCTGTTATCCCCTCCCTCTGCACGGGGAGCTCTCGCTCTGATCGCTCCCCTTCTGCCAAACTAGTGTCCTTTTGCAGTGCAGCTTTGTCCTTTTCCTTGGGCTTGCTCTTTTCCAGGAAGCCCAGTGGATGGAAGGAACCCGTGCTGTGGGGCTGCGCTTTTCCCCTCGGACTACGCTGCAGAGGAGAAACAGGAATCCAGACCGTACGCGACCCCAGACTGTGACCTCTGGGATCTCCCTGACCCGAGCTCGGGCTGTGCCTCACATACGTTGTCAAATTTTGGGGACTGAATTCCTGAGACCAAGTTCCCTCTGCTCTGTCGAGGAGAAGCCCTCTGTCACCAGGCAGATGGTTTTATTCCAGCTCTGGCTCTGCAGCAAAAAGCCAAAGCTGGAAGGGGAATTGGCCGCACCTTGGTCCCAGCCTGGCACTCTGTTATGGTCACTACTTCATGCTCAAGGACCAGGACTCTGCGGGCGACCCGCGGTACCATCTTCTTACACCCCTGTTCACACCTGGTGTGCAAGGTCTGCGCAGTAAGTGATTCCTTATTGTCCCTTAGGTTTGCTGGGTGACAGTGGACAGTCCCCTCTGACGGACATCTCTTTAGGAGCTCCTGGCACAGCCCTTCCTTCCCTCTAAAGGTGTGCAGAGCCAGTAGGGTGACCTTCATGGGTGTTGTATTTGCCTTACAGAGCCCTGACGGTGGGTTGTCATTACCTATGGACATCTCTGGAGGGCTCTAGCTGAGCCCGAGGCAGGGCACTGAGCTGCCAGCTGCCCGTCCTGCCGCCCGCCCTCCCTCCCTCCCAGGGTCTTGATTTTGTTCCCCATAGGCAACGCCTTACGTGGTCCGTCAGCTGCTGCTCCCATCCAGCTGGACTCTCTGGGCACCGCGAGGTGGGTACCTGTCTCTGACGGAGGCTTTGCTCGTACGAGGCTGGAAACGTCATGTGCGCGCTCCTAACCTGATGATTGAGCTGTCGGGTGTCTGGATGAATCCTCTTGTTCTGTAAACATAATGTTCTCTAATAGTTGGGGAGAATCTGGCTGGAGGTTTCTATGGTTTCCTGGTGGTTGCTAAGGAAAAGGATCTTTTTGCCTCTAGGTCTTGGTGACTTTCTTTTTGCCCTGTCCTAGGCACCAGAGCCCAGCAGAACATAATGCTCGTTGTTTCCCAGCCCACTACAACGGTCAGGGCATAATTTGTGACTCCCGTCACGGCTGGGCTGGGCGCCTGCCACTCTTTTTTTTTTTTTTTTTTTTTTTTTTTTTTTTTTTTTTTTTTTTTTTTTTTTTTTTTTTTTTTTTTTTTTTTTTTTTTTTTTTTTTTTTTTTTTTTTTTTTTTTTTTTTTTTTTTTTTTTTTTTTTTTCCCTAAGGCCTCTTTAGGCCTCTTTGAAGAATGAGACCAAAGAGCCTTCATGCGGGAGTTTGCGTGTTTGCTGCGCTCCCCGCCCCCTCGCTTGCTGTTTGCTTTAGAGCTCCGAGTCATTTTAATGATTTATTTCATGCACTTTACATAGCAAGAAGCTGTAGCAACAGCTGTGTCCGTGAATCCTTACCAGGCAGCCCTCAGTATATTTTGGTCTGTCTACGCATTGTCCCAGGCACAGTTAAATAAATCTCTGCTGGAGGAAGGGACTTTACAGCTTAGCAGCGAAGGTTTGGCGAATGGGAATATCAGCAAGATACTTAGTGAGCTGCTGGATCCTAGAATAACAGCGCCTCCGGCATAAAGCTCTGTTCCCACTGGCACAGCCGGGGGCCGGATCCACCGCGGTCTCTTTGTTGCTCTCAGCAGGGACTGCGTCTCCGTACGGCGCCCAGCGATACAGCTTTACTTACGGGATGAAATTTGGACCCAAACCTGCAGGCTGGAAGTGGTTAAAACGCGCCTAGGCCAAACGCTGCTCTTGTCGCACTGCTGTCTGTCAGTCCAGATCTCGGCTGTTGAATGTGATGGGCTTATTTCCAGGGGTGCCACTCAGGACCTGGGCGATAGATGAGTTGCCCGAGGCCGCGTGCTCTCGCAGGGGGTTCAGCTGGGTTCTGCAGAGGCTCGCAGCTACATGCAGCGCCGGGCAGGATTCGGTCCATCAGAGCACCGCAGGATTTAGGCGCAAGTTTACTTTTGCGTATGGGATCAAAGCTTAAAGTATCAGCTGGCCTTTCTCTCGCTCCTGACTTTTCTAAAACATCTGAACAATTTCTTCTTTAACTGTTAAAATCAATCAATCTGACGTTTAAATTGTATGTGAATTTGATAAATAAAGACAGGTTACAAAATGCCACACGGAATGATTTTTTTTAAAGTTTTTCAACTACTTAGGACAAAAAAAATGTTACAATGCTTGACTTTTCATTTAGTTACATAAATAATTTTTTTTATAAATATCTCTTTATAAACAATATATAAATAGCTTTACAACATAAATACATTTATGCATGACATGAATTTACAAACAGCAACGTTATACAGCTGGCTTCATCAGTCTCTTGGAAAAGCACTGTCCCTTGTCTTGGTGAGTGTTTGTATATATAATATATATAAGATAGCACTTTTTAAAAAAATAACAAAACCAAAACAGCTGGTGCCATGACTCCTCGTACCAAAAAGAAAAACACAGCCACATCTTTTGTCCGTTCCGGGGGGGGGTGTCTCTGCTCTTCTAGGCGTTGCCTGGGGGATGGCCCTGCCTGGCCACGGTAGGAGAAAATGGACTATGGATTCAAAGCCCTGCGAGGAATGAGAACAAAGTGCCTGTTAGTACTTGCCATACGACACCCCTTACCCGTCCCAAGCTGAAGCCCCCGTGAGAATAATCCTGGCATGGGCCCCGGGGGTGCTGAAGTCAACAGAAAACCGCTCTGAGCTTTTTGCTCGTGCTAAAGCAAGGAAGAAGCTCACCCTTTGCTTTTGGGCTATGTGGTATTTAGGGGAGAGGCTGAGGGAAGCGTGCTGCTCCTCCTGGTCCTGGGTCTAGCAGAAATCTTTTTTTTTTTTTCCTGATGAGAATTTAACAAGAGAGGATGGGTGCGAGCTGGCTGCGCGGTGTGTGCGCGCTTCTCGGAGCCCTGAGCTGGGCGATTCCTTGGGAATACTGAGGAGCCACTACAGGAGGGAGCGGAGGAGCAGCACCCATCCCTCCGGGCAGGGCCAATGACCAGCGTTGGCATCCTGCGGGCACCATTGCGCCCCGCTCTTCCCATTGCTCCGCAGAGCAGCAGGGTGTCTGGATCCAGTCCCCTCCGCGCCTGACTGCGTTACTGCAGGGCCAAGGCACGTCCCTTTGAGGGGGGCAGTGCCGTGCTGTGGGAAGAAGAGTGAGAGGCCTGGGCTGCAGCGGGCAAGTGCTTCCCCAGGTGTGAGTTCAGCTGCGTGCAACCTGCTGGCAGGGAACAGGCCAGGGTGGTGCCTCGCTCCCCCCAGCACCCTTGGGGAGAGCTGGTAAGGGAGGAGCTGCCATGCTTCTCCCAGACGGGTCACTGCAGGGAAGTGATGCTTCTCTTGCCTATCGGTCCCTAAGCAGAGTGGCCGTGGAGTGCTGTGGGAAGAACTTCTCCCAGCTTCCTGTAACTTGCTCGGATGCAAAGCCCGGGTTAGGAAAGTGCTACCCTGGGCTGTCACCACAACTAGGAGACACCTGGGGAACTCATGTATTGTTTTCCGTTGAATTCAATTAATTGGAGCACGGCTGAGACAGGCGCCTCACTAATCCTCCCACCACAGGCATGTGGGGGGTACCCTGTCCTCCTGAGACATGTCCATAGGTCACCTGTGTCTGTCAGGCGTAGGGGGCTCGGAGCAACTGGGAACGTATGGCTGCACCAGAGCTCCTTCTGCACCCTCCCTGGAGTCTGCGGGTCTAGTTCACGCGGAGAGGAGAATCTAGCCTGAGCTGCTGCGGGAGCGATGAACTACAGCCGGGGTGTCTGACCCTCTGCAGAGGCAGGCAAGGCAGCCGGGCAGCAGGAGGGTCGTTGGAAGGGTGGGAGTGCAATTAAAGCCAGCTTTGGGGTCCCCCTCTTTACCCATCAGCAACAGCGGGGTTTGCAGACGGCTCAGCGGACTAACTACCCGCAATCCCGCCCGGTGGCATCTCCCACCCCGGCAGCGTACGGAGGAACAGCACAGCGTCCCCGGAGCGCCCCGAAGCTCCCGCGCCCCGACCCGGCCCGGCCCGGCCGCGCACTCACCGCCAGGGGTCCCTC